AGAGTAGAAACGGAAAGCGCCATGTCTCCAAGTGCTAGAAGGAGAAAAAAACAAAGGAGATAAAGTAGCATGAGAAAGGAAAAATCAATTAGAAAACAAAATGCCCATTTGAATATTACTCCCCTAAAAGGTAACAGCTGCTTTGACTTTGGAAAACCCTAGAGACCTGCAAAGACATGATAGTGGGTCTGACAAAAGTCTGGTATATAACACATCGATGAGAGGGCTACACCATAATCACAAGAAAATGGCACCAGTTTAAAAAAAAAAAAAAAAAGAGCATATAAATGTCAAATATGCTTCATAGATACACATACCACAGCCTAAATAGTTTTAATTCTTGGATTATCTCCTGACTTAACCTCAAGGTCAGCAAAACAGGATTCACTTTGTATGATTTTTTTGATCCTTCTACTTTAAATAAAACTCGCCATATGATGTAGATCCAAGAATACATAAGATACATCATTAGTGATAACAATAGCTCCTCCTTATACCCTCAAAGAGCTTAAAATATGCATTAACTTCTTTCAACCTAAAAGCTTAAGCTATAAAGCAATTTTCACAAATCATACAAGTCCAAATAACATCAAATGGGAGAACACGGGGTGAAAAAAACTATCGGCATTTTCTTTGTACCCAGTTCCAAGACTAGGGAAAGCATAAACTCAAGCTCACTTAAGAACATAAAATAACTCATGCTTTTGTGTCAATAGGATTATCTTTAATTGGTACCAATATGCTGGGCCAAAAAATCAGACTGACTTTGAGCAGTGAGAGGACTGTTAACAGAAAAAACACTTAGCACTGGGAAATACCTTTACCCTTTAGGGAAAAAGACTTGCTTAAACGTATTTTCAGTTTACCCACTGCCAGATGTAAATACAGAAAGATAATCATACTATTGTCAGCGTCCCAGTGAAATGTAGCTATGAGGCTGAAGACATCATTTTCACCCCCTATGAGTGTAGCAAACTCTAAGAGATGTTTGGCCACTCTGCATAAGCTGCCCCCACCCTCCAAATTTCTTTCGGCCTGACTACTTTCTCCTCCATCATCGCCAGATTTGCTAGAACAACCCAGATCCAAACTCACAGATCAGTAGCTCCAGTTCATCCAGCTTTGAACTTGTTACTGCAGGAAGCCTGACTCACACCAAGTCCCTTGCAGCACTATATCCTATCACTTTTCTGGAAATGTTCACTCCCCTATCAGTTCAAATCAGAGGTGCCCAGGGATTGAGGAGCAGTCCAAAATCGGACAGCTACCCAAAAGCCCCAGCTGATCTACCCATACTGGATGTGTTGTACTTGGGTATGTGCAGTCTTTTGGATAATCACAGTTGTGCTGCACTCCAGACAACTCCGCAGTGCAAGGTATCTGGAAAGTCTGTCTCCCACGCATCGGCTGACTTGGATGGCGCTGCTCCCAGCAAACAAGCGTATCTTTTCTCATTCGGTAACTCTCTGAAGGGTGGCCAAAGACAGATTCCTGCTCGCTACCACTCTTTCTGCAAGTCTTCTCTTCAGACATAATAGGCAAGTCCAACATCAAGCATGAATCAGAGCCCTTAGCTGCAGTAGTAATGCACATTAAAATCACTGAAGGTGTACTTTACCAGCCTATGGACTACGGCAACAGAAAGTTTGGATCAGTTGTGGCTTAACTTCATCTAGGTCACAGCTACTGTGGTTTTGCCCTCCAAATTGCCGCTCATTTGCACCAGAACCTTGCCATGGTCAGGCAGCAAGTTGGTTCCGGGAACCAATCCAATGAAAAACATACTTATTCTTTGTTTGTAGAAATTAATCACAAGCATCAGCACCAGTAAGTTAGTGCCAAAGGAGACAATGGGGATGTACTAATTTGAGAGGGTTGGACAGCAGCAGTCCCACATTAGGTGAGGTTACACTGGCACAGAGCTACATCCTGAAGAGCAGACAACTCTGCTCTTTGTGCCCCTCTCTGCTGCCAGGGTGAGAACCTCTAGTGAAGGGGATGGTGAGTGGCTTGGGTACTAAGTAACCTCTGCAGCAGATGCATCCGCATCTGAAAAGGGCAGTAATTCAGAGCCTAGGCACAGAATATTCCCAGCCTATTCCTAAGATTTTTTTGCTTCTGAATATCCTTCAGAGATTCCTTGCCTAACAGCTGTTTCAAGACAACCGAGCTAAACAAGTAATGAGAATCAAGTTCTCTTTGTCTTCCTTCTGGGATATCTCACAGCACATGGCTGAGGAAGAAATTGTCTTCTCTGTGTATTTTCTGCAGTAGTGAATACATTACCTGAGATTAGTAGCATTCTCTTTTGCTTTATCTAATTGTCCTAATAGAAAATATTAATAGCCCACTGCAGTATATGATCAATCTTAAAGAAATTAGTATCTTACAATCCTTTTTGCTTACACAAATCTCCACAAACTGAAACTCCAAGAAGCGTTTTTGCAGTCTACCATGGAAGCATGCCCAAATTTTGCATAAGAGAGCACTACATGAGAGAGCACTAGAATGTGAGCCCTGTGATTCAGAACAACAGGAACCAACAAGATCAGAAGTGCCCATCTCAAAACTTGTGGAGAGTAAAAGGGAGAACTGTTACAGATAAATCAAATTTACACTTTGGTCTCCAATAGTTACAAATAAAAAAAAGTCAATGCTCTCCCACCTGACTCCACTAGCTCAGGTCTCATTTTAACACCTTAAAAAAGCACATTTCTTTCTCAAATGTCTATTGTCACATGTGTAATATTATAAAAGACCCTTTTGTGGGGCTACGTGAAACACAAAATTACTTCAGACTCACTTGTCTTATCTAAATTCACAGTCAATTGCCTCCTCTGAAAACAACTAACACAAAAATTAGAGACATAGGACACTAATGTATGTGGAACAGATGAAAGTTAGAAGAATAGGGATGGGGAAAACAGTGATCTCACCCCTTTCATATACAGCATTCTTGCGGGAAACTTACTACTGCTAATTTTGAGTAAAGGATCAGACGCCATAACCAGTAACTGCAAAAGGAAATACAATAAATTACACACACTTTTGTCAAAATGCATGAACTTAATTTTTTGCAGATGTATTTTAATCTGAATGCCTGTTCGTTAGGTACTTTTGCTTCCATCTTTGGCAGCAATAGCACCAATGAAATTTTCACTTCTTTTTCCTCAGAACTGCTGTGGATAAAATTCTTCAAACAGATACATGTTAATCAGATTTGGAAGGCACTGAGAAAATATTCACATTAATAATGCCAAAATAGAAATAAGGAATCCAGATGAGATGGGTGTCTCAACAGTCTGCATTAAAATAAACAAACAAACAGACAAACAAAATCACTGGTCCTCTCTCTTCCTCTCAAAAACCAAAAAAAACAAAAAACAAAAAACAACTCTTTTGAGATCAAGGCAGTCAAAGCGTCATTTTTAAAACTACAGGTTAACAAGGTTAACATTTTTCTCAAGCCAACACACGATTTTTTCTGCTACTGTAAAACAAAAAAGAATAGAACATTCTCCACAGATTCTGTCAGAAATACTGACTTAACTAAGTAATTGGCATTTAAGAGTTTACAAATCAGAGCTAAATTTCACTATGCCACCAGAATGAGAATGTAAGGGATTTAGGGTAAACCGCAGAAAAGAATTTATGCTTATTTCAGTACTTTGACATTATTGCAGGCGGCAACAAAAACATGAAAGATTACTGCAATGTAGTTTTTGACAGATAATATTTCCTCTCGAGGCAGAACAGAAAGAACTGTAGAACTTCAAGATTGTAATCGTCTCATACGTTGCTATGTACAAAGTACTTTTTAAAGCAAAATATTTCTCCCCTGCAGCTGCTATCTCTTAGATGCACTGCCATCCTTCATCTTTACCCTCCCACAACTAGAAAGGAAAGAAGAAATTACAAGAGAAAGTTTTCAATCTTAAAAGAAGAAAGTTTTACATATGATAGCAGGAATAAATAAATGAATCCCATGTGCATTACGAGTTTGTGCAATTATATCAACAATAAGAGACTGTGCAACTTGATATCTTTCCTGATTTGTCATTGCATACATGCAGCATTTGCAAAACCATGTTATAAAACAAATAAGAATTTATATGAGCTTTCACTGACAGATGTCTCCCAACAAGGGTCAATGCCAGGCTGTTCTTACTCAATCGAGATCTGCAATCTGTTCTTATCTGATTTTTTATTTTATTGTTCTACTGTTCAAAAGAGTTATATATATATTTAACACCAAGAAATAAGACTGCGTGAGACAAAGACTTAGCATGAATCTGCAAAGCTGCACTGGCTCTGATCCAAGTGTATCTGTACAGACTTCATCAAAAAGACTGAAGTTTGGGTACAGTAACGCTGAATGCAAGGTACAACTCATAGATACTATCCAAGCTTGAGTGGTTACATCCAAAGAAATGAGTCAAAACTTGCAAGGAAGGAAGAGACTTCAGAAATTTCATGGATATAGTAGGTTTTGTTGTTTTTTTGTAGGGTTTCTTTGGGGAAAGAAGCTGATTTTATTCAAGGTAAGAAGCAAACAGAAGAAACACCAGATAAGACTGAAAGGTATTTTTTAAGGAATGACAGTAGTTAAGCATGAGAACAACTTTTAACAAAGCGTTCATCCTTGCAAAAAGAACAACCAAAGCAAAATCAAGGCCAAACTTTGTCATCCTGGCTTAAATCTTAGGAACCTCTCACAGCTAAAATACAGACACATTCTAGACAAAGATGTAAGCAATCCTTCCATCCCTCCCCCCACAATCTGTTTTACAGTCATGCCAAGGCTGCTTTGTAAGAAAAGACACACCCCAACTCTCCTTCCACAGAGAGTAACACACTTTTACAGTGTTTTAATACAAAAGGGCAAGCGGATATGGACCAATTTTCAGAAAGAGCAAAAATTAATCCACTTTTGAACTGACAGAAAACCACAGATAAGCAAAGCTGAAAAACAAGGCCTATCAAACCAGAAAGATGTATACCTGATTCTAGGTGCTGACCATGCATCACCCCTACTGAGTAGGCATTCTGGGCGCTTGCTCAGCAATTCAGAAGGTCAGGCCCTAAGAATTCTGGAATTTGAAGGAAGAAACAAACAATCAACAAACAAACCATAATCCAGTGGTTATACTTTGAACTTTCCTTTCAGTATTTCTCAAAGGAGACTTGGAACTTGCCAAGGACACAACCACTAAATACACAAATACTCTCCTAAATTCAGAGGGCTCCTCGTTATCTAATTCTTTGCTAGAAAAACGTGATTCACCTTGCAGAACTCAGAACGTATACTTTGATTACAATGATATCTCCTTTTTCCATCTCTTGTATGTTTTTATGTGTGTGTGCGTGCATATATATATATATATATATATATCTTGTTATAAGTAGCTTTCTTACATATGTATATTTTCTTCTTTCTTCTTGAATAGTTCTCTCATTTGCATAATTTGAAAAAAGTAGTCTTTGAACAATTAATAAAGTTCCTGTCAAAACAAATCCGATCTGTACTAGCTATGAGATTTTCCTATTGAAAAGCACAAAACCACTTGACATAATGGAATTTACTATGAAGCGTGCCATAAAATGTAACAAATACCTAACGCACCCATCCCACATTGGATTTCAGCGGCATCGCTTCCTTGGCTAACACTGCCTACGCTGATTGCTTCCAACTCTGCCGTTTCACAAAACGCCTTAAAATCCATCAGCTTAAGCAGATCGCGCATCACGATGCGTGTGCGTTACGGCCAACGACAACTTGGCGGGTATTTTTGTGTTGTTTCCCTCTCAAGTGCCGTTAAGAAGAGCGCGAGGGGAGCAGCTCCCCGGCGCTG